AAAAATAATGGAAAAAACCCAAGCACATTAGGGATCAATTACAGCACGTTCGATAAAAAAATTTTCAAAAAAAAAAAAAAAAATGATGAGAGTTAAACATGTGCAGTGCGATTGATCCAGGTACTCCAAGTCATGTGAATTTCAAAATTTCAAGAAAACTGCTAACTTTTTTGAGAATCTGTGCTCTGTATTTGAGTTTCTCGTTTTCTTTCATAACTTGTGCAAGTTTTGGACAATGCTCCAGCAGATCTTCACTTAAATCACCCACTTCCATGGCATGCACCAAATGCTGATAATTTTCTAATTTTGTTTTCTGAAAATATGCAAAAACTTATCGAGAATACCAGGTCCGTTGTACAATTTTCGGTGTGAGGGTACTACGATAACGGTCCCTTTCATCTTTTTCCTCTTGCATACCACAATAACGGCCTCTCCCCTCCCTCCGACCTCTTTTTTCCCACTCAAATCCCTTAGATACTAAATTGCACACCTCCAAAGTATGTACACTGTCCTCAAAGAGTTCGCAAAAATTATGAAAATATAAAAGGTGTTTCTTAAAAAAAACACGCATTAACACGATTACTGGAGATTTACCAGCAAAAAAACACATATTTTGGAGTGGAATCGTCTGCGCTATAAGACTCTCAGTGTAGAAATCCGGTGTTATCGAGAGATAATCGGACTGTAACTGAGAAATTCTTGATATTATTGAAATTTAATTAACAGGATTATCGTGTGACACTTGTCGACGTTACCAAGATTTATTACATCCGGATTGCTCATGTGGAATGCGATCATGCAGAATATCGCTGTGAAATGCTCGATATTATTAAGATATAAATACCCAAGCTAAAAGTGTGGAATTCTCGATGCTGATTGTAAACGATCACCTGAATTATCGTCATGTGTGTGTGTATGTGTGGTGTGTCTGTATGTACGTATGTATGTGTTTGTGTGTGGTTGTTTATGTATGTATGTATGTGTATGTGTGTGGGTGTGTGTATGTGTTGAAGCTTTCGATGACAGCAAGTGCGGTCTAATACAGACACTCTTGAAAAGTAGTAAAAATTGTAAAATTCACACCGATTATGACAGAAGTGTTAATTAAAATTAAAAAAAAAAATGATAAGAAGGAATGCTAAGAAAAACTTGCTGTTATTGAAAAACCAGTTAATTGGAAAGAAATGTTTCGGTCGATGAAATCGCGTACGTTTCTTGT